CCTGCTTGCCTGCCTGCTTGCCTGCCTGCCTGCCTGCCTGCCTGCCTGCCTGCCTGCCTGGCCCTTATGGACTAACCTTCTCGCGCACATACACACGTTATGTATATATAATCGTATACCTATCTCTACTCATCTATCTATATCATGCGTGTTCCGTAAATATACGCGCGTTACGATTTCAGACTAATGTGTAAACAATTCAATTCAAGAATATGTAACAGACGTTTTATCATGTGTGACATCTGATATTACGAATATTACGAATATTACGAACTACGAAGTAACAAATTTGTCTTGCTCAGTTGTAATTTATTTGTTTCTTATCAATTTTAGTCTGAACTTTTTAAAAAAGCACCCGAATCTGGATTATTTATACGATATGATCGCACAGGTTTCTATACTTCGTCATATAATTATTCAATATGTATATCCCAGAATTTTCAATAATTTCAAACTTTTTAAATGTAATTTTCTGTCGCAAATGACATTATATGTCATCATATCATTGTAAATACGCGTATGCTAAAAAAAATACCAAATAAACCTTCGATCCATAAAGTCGATATAATTTCACTTTAGAATTGATCAATTTCGTTGAGCCCGACTCAAAGAGATAAAACGTCTCTATCTGGTAGACAGTAGGTTGTCTATCGAAATAAAGTATCATTGCCCTTAGTTTGAATCAACTTCACCAATCGCTGCAACCGTATCGGTAATTCAGAGGCGGAGTCAAGACGAGCCTCGAAGTCGGACTCGGTCAGCGAGTTTCCATTGGTCAAGTTCAGAAACGAGGAAGCATTAATCGCCGCGATCGCACTGCTCTCCGGCGAGACGCAACGTGCTTGGTGGAACAAAATGGCCAGACTCAACGATAAATCGCACGTCATCGTATCTCCGATATAACCGGACGAGCGATCGCGAAAAGATGGCGGGTTAAGAAAAAAGATGTTAGGGGTAAACTATTTCTGTGGACGTAGCGAGAGATTAGCGCAGAGATGAATCGAAAGACAATATATACATATATGGTATCACTATCATTTGTGGCGTGGCAAATATAACGCGAAATCAAAAATGTTAAAATTTATAAATTTTAAAATTGTAGTCATTAAGTTATTTCTTGTATAAATAAAATAAAAATATTAAAATGCTCTCTGGAAACGAGCGAAATTTCTTAAAAATATTTAATTGATATAATTTTTCTATCGTATTGAATTATTTTTATATTATCTCATACATAGAAGGTATAACGAAAAATATTTACAAATACGTAATACGTGTAAATGCAAATAAAAAAAATTATATATAAAGATTATGTAAAGCTCCTGACCACTCACCATACTCTTCGGATTAACAATATCAGAAGTGAAAAAAACCCTATGAAAATTGCTGTAAAATCTATTAAAACAGAAATATTTTTCAATAAAACAATATTTGCATTTGATAGAGTACACTTATAAAATATAGACACTGACAACTCTTCTTTTATTTTGGAATGGATTAAAATCATATTGTATATATAGCTGGTTTCAATTTCTAGTTAGGCATAATTTAATTTCAAGTATATAATTATTTATCGATTCTCAAAATGTAAAGAGAATTTTTGGTATATTTTACAAATCTATTCCATCAATTGCAAATGTTGTCTTATTAAAAAATATATTTTAATATATTTTTTTCTCAGTGTACTTTTAAAGGTATTTTGAATAAATTCGTCATTTTTACGTTGTATTTTTATAAACAACAAATTTTTATTTAGAATCGTACATATCATTAAAAACTTAATATTTAAATCCGTTAATAAATCAAACTAATTAAGACTCCTTACAAATCAAAGAATTGGAAAGAGTAAGGGCACTAGGAGTTGATCGCAGAAGACGTCGCGCAAATAATACACTTATACAGAGTGAAACTTCTTTATTCACTGAACGCGCTTACATGTTTCGACTCATTTTTGAGCCTTCCTCAGAGCAAACACACACTAACATATATAAAGTAAATGTTATCCTGTCATGGTGAGCTCCCCTACATCGAGAATTTCAATGCCAGTATTAAATAAAAAGAAAGAAAAGAAAATGAAAAAGAAGGGAAATATAAAAAATGTCAAATTAAAGAATATAGAAACTAATTTATCAAAAAACTTTAATAATATAATTAATTATCTCGGAAATAGGGATACTCACCACAATTACAAAGTGCCGTATCGCAAACATTATCATGAATAATTCAAGAACCGGTTCCTGATATGGTACTTTGTAATTGTGGTGAGCGTCCCTATTTTCGGGATAATTAATTATATTATTAAAGTTTTTTGATAAATTCTCTATATTCTTTAGTTTCTATATTCTTTAATTCGACATTTTTAATATTTCCCTTCTTTTTCATTTTCTTTTCTTTCTTTTTATTTAATTCTGGCATGGAAATTCTCGATGTAGAGGAGCTCACCATGACGGGATAACTTTTACTTTATATATGTTAGTGTGTGTTTGCTCTGAGGAAGGCTCAAAAATGAGTCGAAACATGTAAGCGCGTTTAGTGAATAAAGAAGTTTCACTCTTTATAAGTGTATTATTTGCGCGACGCCTTCTGCGCCCGACTCCTAGTGCCCTTACTCTTTCCAAAATTCTTTAATATATTTATAAAATATATTTTTTCAAGAAGTTGTTTTGTTTTTTTCGTTTCTAATGTCATAATCCAAAATGACCGTGACTTTTAGACAGGAGCTTTAAAAAATAAATCTTGTTTTTTTTCTGGAACATATAAAATGATTATGACATACGAGGGTCGTCTGAAAAGTTTTGAGCCTCATCATAAAGATGGCGTTACTCGTCAAAGCCATTCTGGTATTATAATCGTGATACTTACGAAAGATATCTGTAACATTTGTGGCCACTTTGGATGTTCAGTTCTTGTTTGACAATCATTTGTGTCATTTTGTAAAAATGGAAAAAATTGAATATCGTGCTATAATTAAATTCTTGCATTTAAAAGGCAATACGTCTACGCAAATTAAAGCCGAGTTGGATGCTGTTTACGGGGACTCTGCTCCATCATTTGCCACTGTGAAAAGATGGGTAGCTGAATTTAAACGTGGTCGTACCAGCTTAGCTGATGATGAGCGTTCGGGACGGCCAACAACTGCGACCACCATCGATAATATCGAAGAAATTCATCAAATGATAATGGACAACCGTCATTATCCCTAATTAAGATTAGGGAGATAGCAGAGGCTGTTGGCATATCAAGAGAACGTGTTTGTCATATATTGACTGAAGAATTAGGCATGCGTAAGTTAACCGCGCGTTGGGTGCCGCGCTTGCTCACTCTGAATCAAAAACGCAATTTGAATGAACATTTCTAAGGCCCTGTTGGAGCGGTTTAAGCGAAACGAGTCGGATTTTTTGCGTCGATTAATAACGGTTGATGAAACTTGGGTCCGCCACTTCACTCCTGAAACGAAAGAACAATCAAAACAGTGGACCTGCGAAGGGTGAACCTGCTCCGAAGAAAGCGAAGACGGTTTTATCGGCGGGAAAGGTGATGGCGACTGTTTTTTGGGACAGTCATGGAATTGTGTTGATCGACTATCTTGAAAAAGGTAAAACAATAACAGGGACGTACTATGCATCATTATTTGACAAGCTGAAGGCAAAAATTGAGAAAAAACGACCGCATTTGAAAAAGAAGAAAGTGCTGTTCCATCAAGATAACGCATCGTCTCACACTTTGGCGGTCGCTATGGCAAAAATTCACGAATTGCGGTTCGAATTAATTGACCATCCACCGTATTCACCAGATCTGGCCCCCAGCGACTTTTTTCTGTTTCCTAGGTTCAAAGTTTGGCTCAAAGGACAGAAATTTTCATCGAACGAGGTCATTGCATCCGTAGACGCCTATTTTGCAAAGCAAGACGCTCAGTATTATTTAAATGGATTAAAGGGGTGGGAGAAGAACTGAAAAAAAAACGACTTAAAAGGAGACTTTGTGGAAAAATAAAATTGAATTTGACCGAAAAATTACTTGTTTCTATGTTAGGCTCAAAACTTTTCAGACGACCCTCGTAATAGCATAATAATGCGAGGATGATTTTATTTGCACTTGTTCAGTTTTCTCAGAAAGAATGACTATATTTAAACGAAATATTTCGAGATTAATCATGTCCTTTATAAAGAGAGATGTGCTACTGTAATCTCAGTTTGACTATGATCAAATGCATTTGCTCTCTATACGAATAAAATATTGTCTTAGATCTTACCGACTTTTACTACATTGTGTGACACGCACGCACGCACGCACGCACGCACAAAATTTGGCCAGAGACAGCTTAAAAGACGAATGCAAGAGATTCGCATTAGCGACGGAAGTGTAAAAAGTGACAAATAGTGTAAGAAACGAATCTTACATGTCTTTTGCCAAGAAATCTGAAAAACGTGAATGAAAGGCTAACATTTAAAATATATATATATATATATATAAAAGGAAAATATTTTTAATATATTACTGTAACTATAATATTATAATACGTTAAAAATGTAAACTTCTTGTATTGTAAAAGTATCATGTATTTTTAGAAATGTGAGCAAATATTGCTTTCGAGAAATAAAATCGATACAACTTTATTAACAATCAATTGTATTATTTAATTACATAGCATTAATTCTATAGTATATCAATATTTTCAAATGTATTCTGCTTAAAATCTTTACAACCTAAAATCATTCATTTTCAACTATCTGTAATTTTTAACAACTATTGGCATTTTTG